AATCTGATTTTAGATCAGGAAAAACTGGTATTATATCTATCAGGAGTGATATTATATCTACCTAGAATCATGTTATATCTATCATAACAGATATTGCATCAGCCCAACCTATTTAATGTCAAAATAACTGATTTTATAATCTGATACAAATTTTTAGCCCATGGACATTAAATCAGATGGAAAAATCTGATATGAATTCAGTTATTCTGAAATTGAATAGGCTGGTCTGATGCAATATCTTTCATGATAGACACAATATCATTTTAGGTAGATATAATATCAATTCTGGTAGATACAATCCCAGTTTTTCCTGATGTAATATCAGGTATTTTTATCTGATGTAATGCCAGATCTAGCAATCTGATACAATCACTTTGGCAGTGATACCAAACCCAAGTCTGTGTCAGAATAGCCCCCTAGGGGATGAGACCAAAACCAAGTGTTGCAGGAAGTCTATATATGGCAAAACAAGACAATGTAAGCCATGAGACTCATAAGCCAGAATATCCAAGAGATGAAACTTACCTCAGCCATACTGTTTTAGATCCAAGCGATGAGACCCACAACCAAAGGACATGGGAACAAAGCCATCCCAGCCAAGTCACCAAGGGCAGCGGGGATCAAGCAACACACAGAAGGGACCATGAGGCAAACTTGTGAGTAATTAACCAGCCCTTTCATCATACAGATCAGGCGGTAGAACTAATCATTCCTCTCTGCTCTTAGATCAATAGCACACAGAATAAGTAAACCACCTGGACCAGAACTACTTGCTCATATAGAACCAGACAGAAATGAGTAAGTCAGATCCAGTATGTGTGCATTGTCCAGGAGAATGGTCAGTAGCTAACCTGATTAATTGGACCATAGAATAAAATCCAAATCAGGCTAACATATCTAGCACCAAGAGGATAAGGACAATCCATCCACAAACAGGCACATAAAGTGAATAAAGACCTCCTTCATCATAGGGAACAAGACAAGCAGATACTAACCCCCTGCTTGTATTGGAATAACAAACAGCTGTCATTCCACACTCTCTATCTCAGTCTTAACTCAACCACCACTGGTGTATTAAACCATACTGCATCGGCAATTCCAATCAGCAATCAGCATAGCCAAGAAGAAAATCGATTGATTCTGCTCTTAGGTAAAATTCTTTCAACTCTTGTCATTATTGATCACACACTTTGTATATAGCAATAGCAAAACAAGAAGTCTAATAGAAATGAATCACTCTTAGTTGTTTAAAATCTTACACTCTGCCTCAGCCCCCTTTAGCTCTCAAAGGGGCCACTGTATTTGGGTTGCAGAAGGGTTGAAGCTAAAGCACAGCAGTGATCAACGTTACATGATGTCACCAATGGTGCAACAGATATGAGACATGTATTTGTATTGGATCGTATGGTCTTTATTTTGAGCCTGATACCGGTATCAGAATTTTCTTGGTTGGTGAAAAAATCCATTTGTATTGGATTTGGATTTATGAATGGAAAAAAAATGTCTTTGTTTTTTTTCTTTTTTCTTCAATACAGCCAAATATCTTGTGTATCAAATCTGTTTTTGGTGGGATCAGTCATCTGAGGTGATACTGAATACTTGTCTCACTTTCCAAAGACGATACGTGTGTATTGTCTCAGGAAAGTGAGACAACACAAATCCGGTATTTTTGGGTATTCAAATTCTGAGACGATACGAATAAACGCCTGATACTGTATCGTATTGTATCTGTTGCACTGTTGATGTCACCTGCCCCCTTGGTGATTCCTCATCAAGCTGATGAGATGGAGACCCAAAAAGCCGCTAGAAAGATAGGCACAGACTGGGCAGTCATGAGAATCAAAACAGAAGGCAATTTCTATTTTAGGGTCACCGTCTGGTGTGAGGACTGCAAACAATACCTATCTCTCCCCAAGAATAAATAAAAATTTTGCTGGTGGCTAAAAACCATTTTATTTGCACTTTTTTTTACAAAATGCCTCAGGAGTAAAAATTAGGCCAAAATGAGATATTTTAGCCAGTGAAAATCAATGCCTCAAACATTCCAAAATTGAATTTCAGCTCATTTGAGAGATTTTTATTTTTTGACTTAAATAGCTCATTTTGGCCTAATTTTACTCCTAAAAAATTGTGAATAAACTGGATGTTTCCCACCACCAAAAAATGATATTTTTTCTTGGGGTAAAATAGGTAATACCTTTAGTGGAGAGTGATTATGAAAAACTGTTGGTCAAAAATCCCAATGCTCTCAGGCTGTGGGGTTGAGTTGAGACATAATTCCCTACCTTTGGTTGGACAATGCAACAAGTGTTTGATTGAACTACAGCCAACTCCAGAACACCTATAGGCCACATGCTGTGCACATGATGTCACTCAAAGTTGAACCTAGAAAATCAAATGTAACTGTAGATTTGTCCACTTCTTAGTTTCCTATATCAGTTGTGTTTAATTCTTCTTTAGGTTTACTTTCCAATCAATCAAACTCATTGTCATTTGTATCATATCCATCAGGCACAGGTATGCTGTGGCTCTATTTCATCTTCTTTCACTTCATTCATTTCATTTCTTTCTATTGACTCATGCTGTTTTCATTCACTCAATCTCAGGTGTGCTACTACTTGTCTTCTTTGTGACTCCTTTTTCCACGTGTGCTCACAACAGCCTGTTGTTATTAAGGTTTGCTATTGGTTTTTTTTATTTCATTTCATTCTTCTTTATGTTCACTTTTCAATCAATTCAACTCATCATCATTCATGTCATCTTCATCACCTACAGGTGTGCTTCTACTTGTCTTCTTTAAGAATCCTTTGTTTGTTTTTACTCACAAAAATCTGTTGTTATTAAGGTTGCTTACAGCTAGCTCATCTACTATGGCTTGCCACTACAAAAAAGGGGGGAATGGACTTGGTTAAGTAAGGGAACATCTCTCCATGGGAAGATATTAATTTGGTAGCTCACAATCTCATACTCATGCACAGCCAAACAGCCTCTAAGGTGTTGACTGGATGATTTCCCATCAATCTGGATCTCTCAATTTGGAAGAACCAATACAATTTTTCAAGATCCCAAACTCAACTTGGTAATGAGAATTGAGTGACATTGAGTTCTCATCAGAAGCCAAGATTTGGAATCTAGCTTTAGCAAGGCAAAATTAAGGACCCCAGACCAATGCCAAGTCCTCCACTGAGCAAAATTCTCAAATTCTTTTAGTCATTAAGATTCATTGTTTTCCTAAATTTGGTTATGATACCAAAAAATGTGACTTGTTGCTCAAAGAAATATTCAAAATGGCCATACATAAAGTTTAATCAGAGCCCCACTATTACTATCCCTGTGTGCAAACATCAGCTATGTTGTCTATTTATGGAGAAAGGATACAGTCAGAATTCTTTTTTTACTGGCACTGTATACTGGGTCTCAACTTGAGAGTGGAATGCTTGCCTGCAAAGCTTAACTATCAAGCAGAAAACAATTTATTAGTGGGGTTCACAATAGAGATTTATGAAGTTTTTATAGCCAATTTTAAGGTCCTTGACAACAAAACTTTAAGATTTTGACAACATGTGCTGATTTTGGGGTTTCTGAGCAATCAAATCAACTTTTTCGCTTTTCAAAAACTTGTTGGCAAACACTATAAAACGGGCTCTGAAAATTTTGTAAATTTCTATTGTGAAGCCCCCTATTACAACCATTCAAATTATGGTTTTCAAAGTTAAATATGCAAACATTTATCACTGGGGTTCATGATTGAGGTGTTGGATGCTTGTTTTGCTAAATTTTTTTTTTTTTTTTTTTGTATTCAGCTTGGATGTTGGGTTTTGCTTGTATGTAGCAAGTGTTTTTTTTAACAATTTGGAAGCTTTGCAGCAGGGCATGCGGCTGCTGGTTTAATGGGATAAATGGGTTTATGAGAAATGACCATCATGAACTGTTGGAATTTTGGTCTCTTTTCCGCTCATCACTAAAAACAACTCTTCTAAAATGTAGTTCTTTTTTCCTAATCAGTCTTTAATGAAACTAGATTATGGTATTTAGTATGATGTTTTTTGTTGACTGATCACACTTTTGTAGTCCATGAACCCTAGGTAGTAGTTCTTTTTCTTCAACTCATGACTCATGAATATCTTCTTCCTTTTTCTGATTATTGTGGTTGTGCCATTCTAAATATTCATTATTCAAACCACATTTAGATTGTCATGTATGTAGTCTCTTTAACAAACTAATTTCACATGATAAATTATAATCAAACTCATCAGTCCTTTCCTTCTTTTTTGGACACATTGACCTGTTCCAACAAACTTGTTTTGTTGCCAAAATTTTCTATCCAAAATGTATCCCTGTCCTTGGTTATAATTTCTTCATGAACCCTGCTATTCATGCATATCTCATAAATAATCAAATTCTGCTTGCTGAGAATCTTGTCAATCTGATTATGTCATCTGGAGGTCTCCCACCAAACAAGCTTCAATTATTCATGAAATATGCATGCATAAATGTTTGCATTTTTAACTTTGAACACCTTAAATCTAGACATGATTTTTGTGTTAAAAAAGTTCATTATGGATGATTAAACCTATCTTGACTTACCTAAAGTACTGATACCTGATAACTGATGACCGTAGAGTTGAACTCAACTGAGGATATTCCTCAATCATAAAATCTGCCCAACATTCAGATAAATTAGGGTTCCGACCCGGTGCCCCAGAGCCGGATTCTGTGCATCCCGCACCCTGACCCCGTGGATATCTGGCACCTAGCCGGGTTTCTCTAGATCTCTAGCATACATTTTCTTATGCGTTTTGCCATACTGCTGTGAAAAAAGGGGGTTCAGGGCGGGAAGGTTGGAGCTGAGGTGCAGCAGCTACGCCCCCGAGCGGGTTTGATGCGAGTAATCCCCACAAATCCCCGACTTGTGGGGGTTTTAAGGATCCGACCGGATGCCGGATCTCTCTGGGTCAATCCCGAGCCCTGATCCGGTTTGCGGGTTTCCGGATCTTGCCGGATCTGCGGGTCCGGATCGGAACCCTAAGATAAATATTTACAATCTGGTTGAAGTATCATTGGTTTGTTTATAATATGCAAATTGATTGATCTGGATTTATATTACAAGATGTATGTAGACATTCTAAGTTTTTTTCCCAGAGACAGTCTTACAGAATGGAAACTGATCAAAGTCAGGGAAACCTTCGAGCCAAAAGTTCGGCCACAAAGGAGGCAAACAAAGCTCCTACATGTCCAGACGATATTTTGGATGAAATTTATTGATCGAATGAGTGAAGACATGGTATTAGGAGGGGGGGGGGGGAGAAGAAACCAAAGGTTAGAGGAGGAGGAATTCAGAGGAGAGAGGCAAGAGAGCTTTCTTTGTACGTACATTAGTTTTACAGGGAGGGTCACAATGTCCCCAAGTAGACCAGCCCAACCACACCATCAACTCCTTGATCTGTTGGCGCCATTCAACGATTCGCGATTCGGCATCGCTCTCTAACTTTGGATCGGGGCTGATGAGCGAATCAAGTGGAAGAGCCAATTGGATAGTCTGAGAAAAGATGCCGAAGATAGTCCCACACAGGCGTTCCAAAGTGCCCTCAATAGCACCAATGATTACTTCTATGGAGTCGGTGAGGTCGGAAGCACTATCATACGTTCCAGACGTGAATCCCTCCGTACACTTTTTGATCCCTTCGTCGAACGACATGGGATTATTGGTCGTATTGTTCCAGGAAGAGAAATCGAGATAAGGGAGGATCATGCCGTAAGTCAAGCCACGCACTTCGACAGCCCGCTCGATGCCGGTCATGTCCTGTCGCTTGAGAAGGAAATCCAACTCAATGAGTGGGTTGCTGTAAGTTTGGATGATCGTATTAGCCGAAGTCCGCCAATCCAGTCGATCTGATTCTATCCGCCAACCCTCGGCATTCTTACGGGCAAGCACGCCAAGCAGGCGGTCTTTGATCTTCTTGACATCGTTCGAACTGATCCCATCCAATCGGTGGAATCGACGGGACCCAACCGCGGTCCCATCGGCCTTCCTTTTCTCGCTCAAACTTTCGATCCTATCGTAGAAGCTCACAAATCCACTGGGGTCTAAGATCACCCGGGCTTCTCCCGGCCAAAAGTATTGTCGACTGGCTGCTCGGAAATAGTATTGCGCTCCTCTAAGATAAAATGGCGAGTTGATCGACTGCGGTCTGGTCACTAATTGTAACATTAAATTCTTGGTACTATTTTCACTCTTCTTAGTACCCTCATCGTCATCCTGTTGTATCTGGGCCGAAACATTTTTGGCTCCAGACACCCTACCCCAAATTGAAGGAAAACACATAGAGTGGTGTTTCAATACGCAACAAAGCAACAGGGGCGAACAATATGTTAGTGATCCTCAAGGAGATATCGATCATAGGAATATCGATTGCTTTTATCTTATTAGAAAAAGGGGCTCAACTCGATTTTCTGCTGAAAGTCTTGCTGGCTTCCATCAGAAACTAGCGGATTAATCGTATCTGTTCGATTGTGGAGAAATTCCGTGGTGGAATCAGATGACGAATTGCGAGTCTCAGACGATTTGGTGGGCTCTTGTGATTCTTCCGGGTGGTCAGTATCGAAAGGATCAGTAGTATTCATACTCCCGAGAAGCCTAACATGCAAAACAAAAAAGAAGAAAAGGTTAGCAGCTGGATTGATTGTACCATCATATTGAAGACGAAGAAGTCCCGTCATGAGAACGTTGCAAGAGGGGACAAAAAACAAAGAAGACATCAGAAAAGAGCTTAACTTGACTCCCTGACTGAAATCACACCACATCACTTTGAAGCAAGTGTTCATTCGCACCACACCTTCGAAGCCCCATTCTTTCCCGAGCTTACAGAGCCCGCGGGCACGGGCATATGCTTCCTCGAGTAAAAGAGCGCCTCTGTTGGCACCTTCCTTGCGGACGGTAGGTTGCTTTGGGACGATGGGGACGGAGCCATTAATGAGGACAGATTGGCTGTCTGAGAAGCCCGGTCTGCCCAATGAGGCACTCTGGCCATCGATATAAATGATACGAAGAGTCCGGGTGGCTACGTATGTATGCAAAGTGAGTTGACCAGGTCGGCGACTGTGAAGGACGTAGCTGTACTCGGGATTGAAGGCAAACCATTCGAGACCCTCGGTAGGCGTAAGCACCGGATAATTCGTTCCATGATAGAGTAAAGTGCCCCTCGGCACAACGCCGGGGATGATCGAATGTCCACTATAGGCAAACGTGTTCGGCCATTGTTGGAGCAGGCCAGCAAACGAGGCAAAGATCAAGTTAGGATGGTCTCTCCCGGGGGCAGCTGAGGAATATCCCTCGGCATCCTCCTTCGGTAAGAAGCTCCGCTGGTCGCCAGATTCTTCATTGTCTGCCACAGTTGGTTCCGGCCAACAAGAAACTATCATGCATCCTATAAACAAGGCCAACTTAGAGAACTGCTTGACCATCGACCACATCACTATAAGTCGTACTTTCTTTTCTGAGAAGATATATTGTTGTTTGTTGAGAATCGGGCTTCGTCTGAACCGTCAAAGCGCTGTATGGAAGGATGGAATTGGCTGAAGGCTTGGAAAAAGTTCCGCTCCCTTTTGTCCCTCTCTCCATACATCATACCCTGCAAGGTTGATCGACAGAAAGCAACTTGATGATGGATCTGGCGCAATAGCATCTGGCTTTGCGCTCCAGAGAACCGATGTCACACGAATAAAAGGTCGGCAAGGATCTTGAAAATCGAAATCATAAAAGAGGAAAGGCAGATCGGTTATAATAGGAGAATGACATTCTCGCTTTCCTTCGAAATCAGGATCGGAAAAACCAACGCGCTTCCCCCTTCGCGACAAGCTCATGAAGCGTCTACACAGACTTAGAATATCCAACCAGGTTATTCACGCTCAACAATAACGTCAATGTCGCGTAGCCTCGTTCATTAATCGGGGAGGGGGGGGGGGGGGGGGGGCTTCCTAGCCCTTCAGCAGTTCGCCTAAGAAAACACCTGATTACAATTGATGTATTCTGAAAAGCAGCTACGACCATTGAAACCAGTTTGGACTGTTGGAGCGAGCTCGATGGACTTGGGTGAAGTAAGCACCGTGTAGGAGAGGCTCAGATGATCCGGCCTTCTCAGCTTCAAGCTGAAGCTGAGAGATGCATTCCCTTGCTGGAGCTATATACTCTAGCCATTTTCATCTCACAAAGCCCCCCAAAAGTCTAAGCGGATGAACGAGGCGTGTCAAGGGCCCCATCCTCGGATCTGGGGCCAAGAAAGAACAGCATCATGTCATCCACTTTTTTGCATCCAAATGATGACAGGGCAAGAGGGGGATCTTGGACTTCGGGGCTGCAGTGGGCATTCAAGCGCAAGAACAAGCAAGGCCCACAAACTACACAAGAGCATCCTCACAAAATCCATCAGATTTGGCTCGTCAAGCTCGCCACTTTGGTCGTGATTTCTTTGGGTTTGCTTGGGTACGAATATACTGCTACAGTGTTTTAGCTTTGTCTCAGACGATCTCGATAGCTGCAACAATTGATAATGTGCATGTGTGTGTGTGTGTGTGTTTGAACGAAGTTACTTCTCAATGGATTGGATTACAAGTTTGACCAACTGAACCAAGGCCTGGGCTTGGTTATCATCCTTAGCACGAGGGGCGAATTTTAGGATGAGGGAGTTAAGAGAATGGATCAAGGCGGGACTGAAGAAATTGGGGTAAGATTCGGGGGTGGTTGAGGACAAGTTACCGATCAAGCTGACGAAGCGAAACAGGACGCCAATCCTGCCTTCCTCCAGTCTTCCCCCCTCCTCTTCGACTGGTTCAGCCAAGTCTTCTTCAATCGACTCCCGAAAGATCCTCGAGAGACTGGAGGTTAATGTTTCTGAGCTCAGGATAGCTTGACAGATCTCTTTGGAATGTTCGGTGAGGATGGCCAATGCGCCCCCAGCCGCAAGGGCAGTCTGGAGGTCTTCGCTCGAGCATAAGGCGATCAGGATGTGCAGTCTTGAGATATGCGCCGATCCTCTGCTGCCCGCTGGCTCATTTGATTGAGGGCCGAAACTGGCGAGGACGAGTGGGGTGCTAGACAGGTTGCAGATCAGCTCGGTAGCCGCCCGTCGGACCATGTAGTTTTCGCCCGTCCGAACACCAATCATGCATTCTTCTAAGCGGCTCAAGACCCGCGGCGATCCTGCCACCTCCGTCGGGATCCGTCCTCCAAGACTGCAAAGATTCGTCAAGGCCATCAAGGCCTCAAAGGTTTGGAGGAGTGTCGAGGATGGGTGGATGAATAGAGTGGTCAGCGGTTTGATGGTCGAAAACAAAATCGGCGAGTCTGCTGAAGGTCCGAAGATTAGCAATGGGTTGGTGGTGATGAGAATCTTGGCCAAGGCTTGAATGATGTGGAGATCGGATGGGTCGAGCATGGGTTGACTTGAATCTGAGGCTGTCGACAAGGCGGGAAGTTGCGGTTTCGGGTTGTTGCTAGAGACTGTCAGAGTTGCGATGATTTTCATCAACATCCTTCCGCCCCCAGATTGTAAGACGAGTCCTCTGCAGTCTTGACGTTCGACCAAGTTCAGGAGGACTTTACCCGTAGTCCGTTTGACTTCTTTACTTTCACTCTTAGCAAGCCAGCCCACAGTATCCATCAGATCATTATTCCGTTTCAGGCAAGATTGGATCCATTCAAATACTAGCTCATCAGGGATCTCTGTTTCTTGGTTATCATCCAAGCTTCCTGAGGGCTTATCGTTTGAGACTGCTTGACCACTTCGTTGTGCGAGCTTCTTGAGTTGTTCGGCTGCCCGGTCTTCATCAGTTTTAATGACCTTGTATGCAGAAAGATGAGCTATGATCGTCGCGACCCCATAGGCGATCGACGTGTCAGATTTGTTCATTCCATCGGTTTCTAGACATTCCTTGCTGGCCGAGAGTGCTTTGGTAGCTTGTAAAACCCTCTCTGAGTTTTTCATCAGGATCTCTCGAACGGTTCCGTGTTCACTGAGCAGGGCCAATCCCTCGATTGGGGCATTTGGAGGGCAAGTTTTGTCCAGTAGGGCGTCGAGCATGATTTGTGTCAAGCGAGTCATCGAGGGTAGCTCGATGTTTTTATCCTGTAAGTCGCTCGTCAAACGCAATTTGATCAACGCCAGGCTTGCCGCGCAGTGAGCCGGGATGGAAACGTCGGAGGTCGTAGCCAATGCGATCTTATTCAACCAGTCCAAACAGCCTGGCCAATCGGACTTGATGATCTCTCTGACTGGTTTATGGTTGAGACTGAGGGCGATAAACTCGGAGAAAGATTGGTTGAGATCGGCCTTGGATTGGCTTTTGGAAGGGCCGAGGGCAAGCAGATCAACAACCGATTCGGCAAGCTTTGTCAGAAAACCGTCCGATCGTATTATCCCCAGTGCATCTTGCGGCGAGAGCATGAAGAGAGCCGAGAGACCGGCAAGACCATCACAGACTTCTTCAACTATTGTCGAATGTAGTAAAGTCTCGAGTGGTACTTTGAATAACGATGAAGCTTTGGCTTGATGATATTGCAGGGTGATTGCTAGTGCGCTGAAGGCCTTGGCACGGAGCGATGGGTTTTGAGAGGAGATCTTCTGGAATAGCGTTTTGAGTGATTGTGGGGATGGTTGAGCGGATGGCTGATCGATAATCGATTGAAGTTCATCCACTCCCTCCTTGATGATGCCTCCCTTGGTCGACTGTTGCTCGGCCATATCCATTCCTCGACTTGGATTTCTGATTCCTCAAGCGTTTCTCAGTCTAATGGGATGGCAAACAATACAAGAATCAGCCTGAGGAAGTGTTAGGGGCGTTCAAGTGGAATGCTAGTATGTACGTACGCTTTTGGATGACCTTTTTCCTCAGAGCCTCAGACTGGATATCGATGGGGTTCCAGGATGGTCGAGGGAAGGTTCGGAGCTGGTTGCTGTCGACTTTCCCATCAGCGCTTGTTCCTGGTTTCCATCGATCTCGGCCTCGGTTTCGACACCCCTCGTTTCTTCCATTCCCTCATCGGCCTCCTTGGCCAGCCGACCCGACAACCCTTGTCATCCTACTTCTCAGGATACCCCCCAGACCACATCATATTGCAAGGCTCTGCCACGACCAGCACTCAATTGCGGGATCGTTTTATTTCTTGATTACCTTTTTGTCTGTACTACATACCAAAGTTTCTAGCACGATTCAATTTTTCCGATTTAGAGCCGCAAAAGCTAGATTTCCCTGCCACAATCTAGACTTTTCAGGTCTGCATATTTAAACCGCCAACTGCGAGGGTCTTATCAGGACCCTGGCAACCCCCTATAGAGGTGCCTAACCAAAAATCTAGGATTTTGCCAAAATTCCTACATTTCTGGAAGCCATTCATACCCTTTTCGTGCCTACCCTCCCGCTGCTGAGGGGGGGGGGGGGGGGGG